ACTGGCTGACTTTGGGAACTGAGGTTTCAGTCTGGGAAGATTCTTGCTAGAGGTTGTAGCTTATAAACATTGCTGAACTGAATCTACATGGTCTCCTGGAGTTCCTTGGGCTAGGCCTGAGAATCTGATTTGATGAAAAGGCAGTAGAGAAACATATTTAAAAACTGACTAAAGTAAACAAGAGATATACAGACTTCAGTATGTGTCACTAATTATATTCAAAACTGCTATTAGAAAAAAGTGCATTTCTTTATCTTTTTCCTTCATATTTTAAAGTGAATCAGACACAGCAAAATACCAGAATATTCCCCTCATAGTTGTGGCAAAATAAAAGCCCTTTAATAAAGCTATGCTGCAATCCTATATTCACATCTAGACAAAGCAACATTAAACTCAGTGGGATTTATTTCTGAGTAGATGTAAATATGTTTGAAAAATTGCTTTCTTTTAATAGCACTTCCAAACCTCCTGGGCACTTGCCCTACCTAATGAATGATGAGCCCTGAATAGATTTAAATCATGAGAGTTACTTTATTTTTGTTTTTTGCTTACCTAGTTCCTGCATTTCCATGCAAGTAAAGGATTACGGGGTTATTAGAACCCAAAGCATCCTCGTACCACAGTTGGTCCTTCCCTTGAGCATCTTTCCATAGAAATGTGGGAACTGTGTGCCTAGAAACAATTGACAAGTTAAGAATTTCATTGTTTCCTTGCATATTTTGGCCCTATTTTAGTAACTCCACTGCTCCAGAAGTCTAGGAGAAATGTGCAATTTGTTATCCATTTAGAATTAGTGTACAAACCATCAACAACTGATGTGTGCTGAATCTTAAGCAATTCCTTCCAGAATTTCTAGAGTTTTAAGTCAGCTGTTCTCAACTGAGGGCCATAGGATATTTCAAGGGGGCTCCGGGTGAAAAACATGTAACGAGGGGCCATGGAGAGCTAAAGAAACTGTATTACACTGCAAATATTGTCTTTTTTATGCCAGATTCTTAGTCCCCCAGTTAAAAGTTAGAAGCTTGCTCTGCAAATTGATGAAGCATGTTTACCAGATAACACAATACTGATGGTTTATATTAGATACTTGGTTAATGAGAAGTTTACAAAAGAAATGCTTTTCACTTGAAAGCTTAAAACAGACACTAAAGGGAAAACAATTTTTGAAGAAGCAAGCAGTTACTTCAATGAGAATGATATCCCTCTTGAAAATATTATGGCTAGTGCTACTGATGGTGCTGCTTCCATATGACAAGTACACACAGAGGATTTATTGCATTTTTGAAAGGTGCTGTGCCAGAAGTATTCTGTGTTCACTGCATGGTTCATCGCCAACATCTGATTTCAAAAAAATTGGCGGGATGTTTGCATGAGTCTCTAAATGTCATAATACAGGCAGTCAACTGCATAAAATTGTATGCACGTCAAGATCATCTGTTTCAACAGCCTTGCAAAGAAAATGTTGAAGTCTTTAAACACTTATTATTGCATTAGATTGGTCACTGAAGGGTAACTGCTTTCTTCATTTTGTTGCTCTGTGGGAATGCTTGTGGCATTTTTCAGTAGTAAACAAATCGAAAAAGAGATCACCTCCACTAAATGCAACATATTTTACCTGTCTGATATCTTTGAAAAGCTTCATTTGTTAAACAAGCAACTGAAGGGAAGAAACTTTGACTTTTTATCATGCAAAGAGAATATTAAGGGATTTCTTGAAAAAACTGAAGCTGTATGCAAGTAATATTGGACATCAGGAATTTGCCCAGTTTTCTTCTTTTCTGGCAATGAGTTGAAAGACGATGGCATACTTGTGTATGTGGATCATTTGAAGTAGCTGTATAATGATATGGAAGTTTGGCTCCTCCCTTTATAAGATTTATAAGATTTATAAATCTGGCCCCTCTCTTTATACCACACAGAATCTAGAGACACACTGTGCCCTGATGATTTTTTTTTAAAACTTCTGTAAAAAGGATCATTGAGGTTAAACCCAGACCTTGTGGAACATTCAAGATCTACTACTGAGTTATATCAAAGATATCTACCTAGCCAGTTCAGTGATGAAAACATTTTTGGACTGAACAAGTTACAAAAGCAACATGCTCACTTTTCCTTGAGCTATCACACATATTTCAATTTTAGCACTTAATTACTTAATTAGCTGTGACGAAAGCTGCCATCTATGTATATTGTTGATATCTGAACAATACCTGAAAGGAAATATGGTGTATGTACAGTACATTACAAGCCTATTTCAGTCTTACACCAGTATAACTAATCCAGCTTTCTTTAAAAAGGTAGTTTGGAAAAAGAGTATAAGCAATCTCAACAAACAAGGATAGAAATAATTCTCAGCAAACTTCTGCTACCTAGTCCTGCCATACTAGGGAAAAGAGGTGATTGATATTCTGTATTTTATACCCTATTTAATTACATTAATTAAGCATGGCTTTTAACATCAAAATCAGGGTTCAGAATAAGCTTTGTGTTTAGCTAATAACACAGATACACAAAGATGAATGCCAAAGATTTAGCAAGGAAAAAGCAGTTCAACACACATTTGGAAAGAAAAATAACCTTTGAGATTAAACAATTTGGAGACACTGCTTGATATTTTATTTCCAGCCCATGTTTTCAAGCCTCAGTATTACTACAAGCAAACCTATTTATATCCTAAACAGGTAAAAAGATCAATATAAAAAAGAAAAAAATACATATACCAAGAACCAACCATTTAACTTTTTTTCATGCAATTCATAAATTCAAAACCAGCATGGATGGTAACTCTTTCTTACTGTTCCATGGGCAAATATCCTATCTTCCACCCCCTAGCAATACAAACTTCAGAAGATGGATTTTCTTTATGATTACACCAAGAAGAAAGAGTTAAATTTGCCTCTGCATGTCTATTGGGATCCTGTTAATTATCAGCATCCTTCCCAACAAGCTGATGCAACTGGCATTTTGTAAGTTGTTACTATCACACAGAAGTTCCTCCAAAGCACGAAGACCAAACTGGCTCTTATTTCTACATGGTTAAAACAAAAGAATATCGAACAACAACTTTAATGCTATTCATTTTAAAAGACTCTTTCACTTTCATGTCTGCTGAACCACTAAAATAATTGTTCTAGAACTGTGAAAGCTACCTTCATACAGGAAGACCAAGAGAGATTGGGGTGGGTGTGGGGGATAAGATACAGAGCAATGCAATTCTGGATTGCTGTAAACTCTACCTACCATCAGCAGCAGACCTCAATTTAGGACAAAGGTTTCCCATTCCAATTCTTGAACAATCTTATAATATTCAAAAGACAATAGGGTAGATTTAGACATGACTGCTGTAAGAGAGGATGCTGATAATGTGGCTAGTAACCATTATGTACACAAATCCTAAGAGCTTTTGGGTTACTTCTCAAAAAAAAATCGATTACACTACAGGTAATTCTTGCTTAATGACCACAATAGGGCCCAGAAAAGTGGTTGTTAAGCGGGGTGGTTTTTAAGTGAGTCACTAAGTGACGGGACCCAATTTTACTACCATTTTTACAACTGTCGTTAAGCAAATCAATGTAGTAGTAGCAAATCATCTGGTCGTTGAGCAAATCACATGGTCGTTAAACAAATCCAGCTTCTCCAATGGATGTTTTTTGCCAGAATTTGCTTAACAACCATGCAATTCACTTAACAACCATGGTGATTCGCTTAATGCCAGTCATAAAAAGGCCGCAAGTCATGATCACATGACTGCGGGGAGTGGTGTGACAGTTTGCGATGGTCGTAAGTGCAAGTACAGATTGTAAAGCACTTTTTCTGAGGCCGGTGTAACTTTGAACCATCATTAAATGAATGGTCATTAAGCGAGGACTACCTGTAAATGTGTGGGAAGAAGAAAGCCAGCAACTAATGGCTCTGAATTGCTTTTAAACAGGTTCCACATTTGAAAGCAAATTACTTGCCACAATTCTTGTGTGATCACTTCAACTGAATCTTATTAATCCAAGCTCAAACAGAATTGCTTCTTTGCTGTTCTTTTCCAGTCTGGACTGTTGCTAGGGAAATCTGACAAGTGGTTAGATACATACAAGCAGGCTAAAATAGAAAAAAGAAGTTACAAACCACTTTTGAAACTCACTTTATTTCTACCGATAGAGAGCTGAATTATCATTATGAGTTGCTATTCAGTTCTACATCATGCTTAGACTTGTGGAAATCTCCTAAGAGCATAAAAACAATGCAGATTAGGCCAAAGGCCTTCTTAATCCAATATTCTGTGCAAAAGGATTGCTAGATGCCAATAGAAAGTCCATACATGTGTTCTTTTGCCTATACACCCCCACAACTGGCCCTGAGGAACATACTACCACAGAAACTGGAATTAATTAAATAAAACCTGAGCATGTGTGGTCTTTTTAAATCCCCTTTTAAAGTTCATCAAATCTTGAATTAGCAACTTCAGTTAACTGTGAGGAAAAAAGTACTTTTTTAAAAAAAATTCTCCTCAATTTCAGATTCTTAATCTTAATTGGATGACCCAGATTTCTAGCATGTTAAGAAAGGGAAATACTTTTTCTCACTATCTACAAAAAATAATTTCATATACCTTCACCGTGCCATTCTTTTGGCTTATCTTTTATCGAAGATAAAAAGCCCCATATGATTTCCTTATATGAGGGCCCCTGAGCATTTCGTTTGCCTTTATTCAGAGTGAAGGATCAGTGTGCACTTGCCTATCATTGTTCTTTCAGAGTATGTTGTTCAAGAGATATAAAAATTAGATATAATAAAATGATAACAATCCTACTTTTCCATTACATGAGACTCATCACAATTATAGCCTTCTTGTTAGAAAGAACATGATTAATTAATTATGGCAAGGGTTTGGATATTTTATACCACACCATAAGATTTTATTTTATTGTTGTATTTTTATAGTCACGTTTAAACAAACTGGTGGTTTTATCGTTGATTGTTTTATTGCCCTTTGACACACTGCTTTGAGCAGTATAAAATTAACATAAATACTGCAACTAATAAATAACAATAATACAAAACATCTACCAATTATGTTTGTTTATTCTATATTAGTAATCTACATGCATGGCAAAGTATTTAGTGAAAAAGTCCAGACTGAATCCCTCAAACAGAACTCAACAATTAAAAAAATTACAACTGGAAAAGCAAAACAGACATATTTATCCAACCTAGATACCAGTATAATTGAAAAAATGAAATATCTGCAGAAGAATAAAACTGCTTTAGAAGATGAAAGCTAAAACAATGAGGAGGAGAAGACAAGAAAGTTATAAAGAATATGAATCCAAACAGAAGAAGGGAGAACATAAAAAACCAGGCTGGGTTGGGGGAACAGAATGGAATATCCTCAAAAAAGCAGAATTTGCATCCTAATTAAGAGCACTGCAAGCCACAATGCCTGGTTGCAAGTGTAATTTGCTAAGTCTATTCTTGGTATCTGTGGAAATACTCAAGACTCTTTTTCGCTATCCAGTTTTCATTCTGCTCCCTAATGGTCAGTTTCATCTGTACAGAACTTGACATTGTTTTGCATTGTACTGCAAAAACATTTGTTAGTTCACCTAATATCAGAGAGTAAGAACTGGGATTAGAATTGATAATGAAGATATCAAAGTGGTGATAGCATCTACCTTTTAGGATCAACCACCAGCAGTAACGAACAACTAGTCAAGAAATATGCTGCAAACCAGAACTTGGTAGAGCAGCCATGAAGGCCTTGGAAAAGATATTTAAATGCCATGGTGTCTACATCTACAAAAATCAGAATTGTGCAATCCATGGTATTCTCCGTGACACCCTATAGAAGCGAAATGTGGACTCTGAAGAAGCAGGATAGGAAGAGTATTGATGCTTTTGAACGTTAGTGTTGAAGAAGACTCCTGAGAATACTGTGGACAGCCAAGAAAATAAACAGATGGATCATCAAACAAATCGACCCAGAGTTCTCATTCAAGGTACAAATGACAAGGCTTAAATTATTCTATTTTGGACATATTATCCAAAATCCTAGCTCTCTGGAGAAGGCTCTAATGCTGGCAAAAGTGGAAGGAAAGAGAAGAGGACAACCAGAAGCAAGGTGTACTGATTCAGTTACCAATGGAAGACCTGAAAGACCATGTTAGGGATAGATCATCATGGAGAAAATCTATCTTTGTGGTCACTAAGAGCTGACAATGACTTGATGGCACATAATCAATCAATCAATCAATCAATCAAAGAACTGGGATACTTTCTATATAAGTAAGACAAAGGTGAAACCTGAAAGTTAGATCTGCAAATATATTTACAACTATATTTGCAGTGATTCATGTCATCCTCTGGGTTATTTATGTTTCTCTTCCTTGTTCCCATGCTTTGTTCTCAGAGACTAAAGTCACATGGCTTGAACAATCCCACACCATTTCATCTTAAGACTGAATTCTTAAGTCTAGACTAAAGCAAGTCTTCAACATAACAAAGTTTACAGTTCTGTATCATCAGCCTTCAGTGCAATGTTATTAATATACATTTTTATTTGCTACTTCAGCTGGAAGAAGAGTATATCCTTCAAATTCAGTGTTATTGCACAACACACTTGCTGAAATGTACATCACATTATTGGATTAAAAAAAATACAGGATAAAAAGCAAAGCCTTTGTATTAATTATAAAAGGACACCAATGTACAATGGGAAGAATGAACCATTCCTTACCAGACTCCAATAGTTACATCTTCCTCTGGCTGTAGATAGTAGTTACAGGTATGGTTTAAGCCTTGGTCCTGGGGTCTTTTCAGATCAATGAAATAGGGCACTCTTACTGAAATAGAAGGATAACATTCCTTTTACATTTTGTTTACCTGATGACTGAAATAATCAACTTCTGTAATTAAAATCAGCAAACCTTGCACAATAACCTTGCACAATAATTATTTCTACAAAGTATGCATCCCAATGCATACTTACATTTCCTATAAATTACTGGATATGTTGAAATGTCAATAGGGAGGAGAGGATTCTTTAAAGATTATTTCCATCAGTCAGAGATATAATGGGAATAAAAACTCTTGTGGCACCTTAAAGACTAATAAATGTATAATGACCTAGGTTTGCATGAATTACAATGCATTTCATCAGAGGCATGTAAATATACACTCCCATTTGGGAAGAAGGGCAGGAAAGGTAAATACTGAGGCCAGAGAGAAATGAATGGTATTATTTATATGTCATTTCCCTCTGATCATTGTTTATTATTCCCAAATATGTTCCCAAACATGAGTTTGTATATTATATTCTCAGGATAATGTTCAGTGCATCAAATGAAGAGATTATGCCATACAAAATGTATTTACCTGTAAGGTACCATAAAACTCTTTGCTGTCTTTTCTGCAACATACTAACATGGCTATTTATCTGGGGAAAGGTTAGAATTTAACCTTTTCTGGTTTGTGATTTGTTTTCCAACTTCTATTGCCATATTCTAAAACATACTTATTAAATCATAATTGTTAACTGTCAGTACAGATTACTGTTTGCACTAGTTCCAAGACAGTCAATTATAGATACTATCTTTAAAACTAATTTAGGAAATCCTAGAATTAAATTTGTAAGGCACAGTTTCAGCTCATTGAGTAATGCTGTTTTCCTGTCCCATGTTTGCAAAACATTTGCAAAGGTCAGCAACAAATTCTACATAACACGCAGACATGATAATTAGAGTACAGTCATACCAAGCACAGCAAGGATGATATTTTTGAGGAGTGCTGAAAGGAAACAATTGCTTTTTCACTGGCTGGTATTAGAACATTCTCTGCAGATGCCAACAGTAACAAAATTGCAAGCAGCAATATCAAGCCTCTCCTTCATCAGCACTTCACAAAGAAATAATGAAATATAATCAGGTGCTGCAAACTGAGATCTCACATGCTTTAAATGTGAACTGAACACCGTGACACAAGATTTTGAAATATGCAGGAACAATGGAAAAAGTTAAATTCAACTTCAATATCTATAACAATACACTAGATTTAATACCAACAAAAAAATAAAATTATTATAGACACAGGCAGCTTGATGGCAGCAGTTTCCAGGATTATTGTGGTACTGACATTGACTCTTAAGTAACTAAACAGATGTCAGCCTTTAAAGGAAGGTTGGGCTGATAAGGTATGAAAATCTATTAGTCTTGAATTAAAATTTCAGCAAAAAGTCAAGATAAAAAAAATATTAAATGAAGCATGATTCTTACCAAAATTTAGGAAGACAAGCTTTGCCTGAATAGCTGGACAAATTTTAACTAGAAATGGAATCGCTATGTATACGCCCAACAACCAGATCACTACCTTCCGCAATCGAACCCACATTCCATGTCTCCTGTAAAAAAGGGTAGGAGAGGAAATGTAAGTTCATCTTACTGTCAAAATTCTTGTGAACAAGGTCTGCTATAAGTTTCATTAAGACAACCATGATGGATAGTAATCACCACTAAAAATGTAGGCCATTTGTTTGTGGATATACAGGTAGTACTCGACTTATGACCATCCGTTCAGTAATCAAAGTTGTGACAGTGCTGAACGAAGGGACTTATGAACGGTCCCCAAAGTTACGGCTGTTGCGGCATCCCCATGGTCACATGATCAAAATTCAGGCACTTGGCAGTCTGCTTCCATTTATGACTGCAGGGACACTTCAACTCCCCCCGCCACCTATCTCTCCCCATCTATGCCCTTTTGGCCCCCTGCACTCCGCGGCCCCTGCCGCCCTAGCTGACCTTCACTGTCTTCTTGTTCCCACTGCTGACCAGGCATGCTCGGCCTGGCCCTTTGCAAGGCAGCTGCTGACCACATGAGGCTTTCTTTCCACGGCAGTTTCCTCTTGAGACCTGGGGAAGATGGCCTCACATGGCCAGAAGCTACCTCGTGAAGGGCCAGGGCAGGTACGCTTTCAGCAGCAGGAACAAGATGGCGAAGGTCAGCTGGGGCAGTGGAGCACAGGGTGGCAAGGGGCTCAGACTGCAGCGTGCAAGGGTGACTGCGGCTGGGCTGGGGCTTCCTGGGGTGTGGCAGCTTTATGCTGCACTGCGCTGCTGGGGCGGGCTGGGGCTGGGCTTCACAAGGCACAAAGGGGTTTCCTGGTTTGCCATGGCTCTGGGACTTTTTGCTTTGTGCAGCCCCAGAGCCACAATGCACCAGGAAGCCCCTTTGCAAAGTCCAGCCCCAGCCTAGCAGCGTGGTGCAAAGAGGCTTCCTGGCACGCTGCAGCTCTGGGGCTGCAAAAGGTTTGTAGCCCCAGAGCCACAGTGTGCCAAGAAGCCCCTAAGCTGCGTGTATTCTTTCCCTGGCCTTCCTGAGCTCACACCACACCGCAGGACCCTTCCCCCAACCCGTGCACGGCCTGTGCTGGCCCTCCCAGGCCTCTCCCACCCATCCCCACGGCACCCCCATGCTCCTTACCTTGGACTCCTGCCTCTTCCCACTTAACAACCCACGCATCTTGGGGTTACGACGGCAACTGGGACTGCCCAGATTGCCATCACTAAGAGATGCAGTCATGTGATGTCATGCTTTACTACCACATTGCTTAGCAATGAAAATTCCAGTCCCGATTGTGGTCGTAGGTTGAGAACTACCTGTAGTCTCAATTTTTAAAATTGAAACAGTAATAGCTTCCTGTTTTTGTAAAGGTAAAGTCTCCTCCAGATCAAGCTCAACTCATAAACTCATTTATGTAGGGGTTTTTTTGGCAATAATATGGATATGGCTTTTCACTGCCTTATTTTAACAAGATTTATAAATTGCTATTATTATTTATATACAGCCAATATTTGACATTCTGCTTTGCAAAAGTACTCTCCTGGACTTGGGAAATATAAAAAGTTGCACTTTGACTTAATAAGGAGACCCAAAGGAGAGGACAGAGGGGAAGGACAATAATTAATATTAACATAAACATTTACAGCAATATAAAGTTCACTCAATCTAATGTTTAAAAACCCCTAGAATTAATTTTCTCAACGTTTTTTTAAAAACAAGATTGGAATAGTGTAACAAAAACAGAAGGATCTTTTTCCAAGTAACATATCTAATATGTACTGTATGTTTTTTCTTACCATCACCATGATTAATAATTAATAATGAGTATGATTAAATTCATATAACTAAAGAGGGCAGATATCATACAATGTGTTAAAAGATATGATAATAAACACATAAGATTACAGAAGCTAATACCTAAATAGCCAAACTGCCATTCACAATGTTTCCACCAATATTATTGCTCCTGCTCCTTTGAAATGCAGTTCCCAATGCAATACTACAACTACTTTATATTTAACTTCCTGCTGCAATAAAGTTTTACATAAGAAAAATACATCCAAAACTTCTTTTCCCATTTGTAAGTAATTACTTTCTTCTTTGGCTACAAATTATATGCGATGAAAACCTGAAACTCTTCATACAGGGAAGTCAACAAAGCGCCAACAGCATATTTCCCTGGAGGATGTGAGAGAAGTCTTCATTATGGTAGTTCCAGAGTCCAGCAAAAGCTTTTCTTGCTGGGTTAGCTGCCTCGTTATCAGGCAAAAGAAGGTAGCAGTGTCATCCTTGATCAATACAGGTAATACTCGTTTAGCAACTACAATTGGGACCAGCAACTTGGTCATTAAGTGAGGTGGTTGCTAAGTGAAACTGTGATTGTGCTTATGATCTTACTTCAGATTTCCTTTCCTTTACAGACCTACAAAGGGTTGGTCGTAAAGTTACTTTTTCATCTCCGTTGTAACAGTGAATGGTCACTAAAACAAGGCAGTTGCTAAACGAGGACTACCTGCATTAGGTTGCCTTACATTTTGTTGTTTATCCTTTTGGAGACTGAGAGAGCTGTGGGGAGGAGAGCATTTTCGTATCATCATGATGGGTGTAGGTGAACGTATTTTATCATTCTTTGGAGATCTCTATAGGATTCACACTAATATTCATCACAACTTGACAGCTGGTATAATAAGAAACAAAGAGAGAGACAGGCAAAGTGACAGGCAAGTTCCAAATCTACCCTAAGTTCTTAGGTAAATAACAGGAGTTTCACTACATATAGAGCAGTTAATCACATCTACAACTCCAGCTACTTCTGCCTCTGACCACATAAAATACTGGAATGCAGGTCTCAACAGTTTTTGACAGGGAAAGGGTTCTTTATTAAATTAACAAATTAAATAATTCATATAGAGAAAAGTTAAGTATTTGTCCAAGATAGATTTAACTGATCAACACAACAGAATTTTGCAGTAACAACTCCCAATATTTGGTTGTTATCTCAAATGTTTTTAATAGATACAGTTTCTCTCACACAGAGTTTCCTAACACAATGCCCATAATTTGTTTGATTTATGGAGCAGACCACATGAATACAAAATTTTATGAATATGAAATTCATAGAATATTTCTATGCCACTCATAGAAAGAATATTTCTAAAGCCACTCATTTCGCAGATTTGTGATGCAACAGATCAAATTTCCATCCAGACATCCCCCTGAAATTATGGGGTATGTTGTATATCCACAGTAGTCCAGCTGAGGAAGTTAAATTCACACCATTTTACCTTTTTACTATATCCACAATAATTTACATAATTTTCAATGACAGACTTTTGTATTTAATGGTTATTGGGGAGTAACAGACACCAGCTCTCTCTTTGAGGCTTTGCTGTACATGGTGATATTTGAAGAAAAACTTAGAATCCTTGTTATGTACAGTTTTTCTTTAAAAAGTCAAGAACATTTGACAAACACGTATAGTTTGTAGGTTATTTTGCCCAGCTATCATTAAACATAGCTTAAATAAAATCAAAGATCTGTGTAATATTTTAACTTATTTTTCTAAAAGCCACATAGAATATTTCAAGTTTTTTGTTTTAAAACAAATATTAAAAGAAAATGTCAATGTATTCAGAAACACTTCCATTATGCCCATCTTCTCAGTAATGATTCATGATCCTTACTATGGGCCAAAAACAAAAACAACATGGACTAGGTCAGGCATGTAAAAATTACAGAGGAAAGAAACACTGGGACTGATATACAAATGGGATTCCACAGAACAGTCTTTATTTTAAAACGCTAACAGATACCTGAATACTAATCTACTTGACCCCTTACATGTATGGATTGATTTTATTCCTAATTACAGATAGTAATAGGGAAAACCTACTACTCATTAAATCTATAATAAATGCCAAGGTGTTATCTAGTTGGTTTGGTCTGGTTCTTGAAAACCGGTTGCTAAATTGTTACAGATATTACAGCCTGGAAAAGCTGGTTTATCTGGGCAGAGGGAAAAGGTAAACCCGGAACACATCTGAGAGAGACTGGGCTTGGCACATACACACGAAACCTAAACCCTGATAGAGCTGTGCTCTGTGTTTTCCAGACAGACAGCTTGTCCAGGCAGAAAAGAGAAAGCGAGTTTATGTGTGTCTGTAATTACGCTGAAAATGCTAGGACTTAGCGTTTTCAAAAATCTAATGAACAATTTAACTTCTGTTTATTCTTTTATTAGAACTTTGTGCATAATTATGGATGAAAATTACACCCACAAGTTTACATGTATGTATGAATACAGATAGTCCCCAGGTTAAGAATGCCCAGTTTACAGACAACTCATGGTTAAGAACGGAACCTACTGTAGCAAAATGTGAGTTACACAATGATTCAAGTTAAATACACAATGGTTTGAGTTAATTACACAATACTATTTATACATTATACAATAATAATGTTCCCACTTAAATACAAATTCAACTTAAGGACAGACCTTGGGAATGGAACTCATTCTTAAACTGGGGATTACCTGTATTTAACTGAGGAGGAGTCTGTGCACAGAACCGTATTACATCAACCCAGTTCTAAGCAGAAATGTGACCAGTGAGTTTAGGATTGCAACTGAGGCTCAGCTAGTAAAGCTTTTACAATTATTTTAATTACCTCACTGTATACATATCACCAATATTAAAAAGCAGGGGATGCTGAATAAGGGGGAAAAAACTTTCTCTAAGCACTTAGAATTTTCAAGACTCACTTAACTGGGATATCAAGCTATATCTCCTCATGTCTTCAGTTCTCTGACTAAAGCAACCAGGACCAAATTAATACCATCCAGCTCAAAGGAAATCTTTATATGGATTTTTTTCTGCCAGCCTTTCATTCCGAAATCACTGTGTTTCTCAAGAGTTGCAAGTTAATTTTAGTTGAATTGTACTATTTAGAGCAGATTCCTATTGCTGTATCAAGATGATGAGAAAAGTTAATCCTACTATATTTGAATTTTAGTGGCTTACGGCACCACAAAGTTTGAGAGTCCCTGTGCTACTGAAGTTTCAT